TGTGCCATTAAGAAAGAAGCTAAGCTGCTGAGAGGAGCTGACAGTGTCAGTGTCAACAAAGGAAAGAGCCCAGAAGTGAGAGCAAACTGACAGAAAATGATGAAAAAATATCCGTGGTTGTCAACTGTGAGAAAATAGAGAGAAATACATGTAGTGAGACATCCTGTAAAAAGTTCAGGAAAGCAGAACTGGTCTCCTTCAGCCTTGTAAACTACACACTCACTCCTGATGTGCGAGTCCTTTCTCAGGGTCATATCTCTCGCAGAAGGAAGGAGAAAGAAGGGTTTGGGTAGGAAAGAGAGAAAAATGCTATTTGGAAGGACGTTGTGGTGAGTAAAAGGGTTTGGCTTGGAAACAACAGCTGAAGTGAGTATAAATAAGACGAGATGAAAAAATGAAGTTAGCAGCAAAAGAGAAATATGGAGGATGTTATGATCAGGTCTGCAAATGCGTATCGTAGAGCTGAATAAAGGCAAAGGTAGCATCAACAGAAGTACTTGAAGCTGAGCATTACAGATGGGAAGTAATCCGTCAGTCAGGACTATCAGAAAAATTTTGGCATGAATTTCGTGCTGCTAACATGAAATTGAATAAAAATATACAAGAAATGCATGGCAAGAAATCAAAGCAATGGTGAAGCCTTTTTAGGGATTTATGCAGCTTCTTTTAATCCATGATAAATGAAACTTATCCCAGTGAAATTCACCCCCGCAACCAAACAGTTAAGCTCTTGAAACCTGCATCTGCAGACAAGGATAAATTTTTCCCTCTTTACTTTTCTTACTTTGATATGAATTTGTTTGATCTGGTTTGTTTAAAATAGTACCAAAATGCCACAGCCGTAAAATGTCATGCAAAATGTGCAGAAAGTTTTAGGCACGTGGTCAAAACCAAAAGTGAAACACTATTCTTCACAAACTAACACTTAATTGTTAATGTGTTCGTGTGCGGGTGCATATGTTTAAGAAGTATATGAGCGCAGGCTCTCCTATCAGTGCTACTTTGCAAAAAACTCATTTATTTAGTTGTAAAGCTTTGCTGTGGGAAAAATATTTAAATATTTCAAAACCAGATAGGTAGGCAGATAGAGAGTTCTACAAGCACATGCATATTTTGCAAGAAAGAAACAAAGAAAAAAAATACCATTTGGGTCTGAGAGCTATTTAACTACCTAAGTGTAGATCTCCCAGTGAAAATTCATTTAAACTGAAGCCACCTTAGTGCACTTTGTGTTTTCCAGAACAATTGACGTGAAAAAATGTATTAGAAAGCCAGACCAGTAGGTGTTAATTTCACACTTCTCAAACCAGAGATTGATTATTAGATACAGCTGGAGCCTTTATCTTGACAGTTAAATGCTGAATTCCCAGAAAAGTTGACATGTTAATACTTATATGCAAAAGGTCTCATTGCTCAAGGGTTCACTTGTTTCGGCAGTGATTTTCATTGCATATACTCAGTCTCCAGTGAACCAAACCAGAATTGTTACCTGAAAATTTCAGTCTGTGAAGAATGTGAGGTACTGGCTGCTACTGAACAAACCTTGTCTGTTTGTTTATAATGGGATAATCGGCAATGCCATTTCTATACACTGCTCAAAAAAAGAACCCATCAAATATAAGAAAAAACACTTGCAATTGGCCCCATTTTGAATTATAAGAAAAATACACATAAATGGGAGAGGACTTTTTACAGGGGCTTATGAAGTACTGCTTCAAATTAAAAAGTGTATTAACTAATTTCATATTCTAATCCTAACTGAGGTTTTGTATGGAAAAACTTTTTAATAGGCACAGTCATATCTGATGAGAACTGAAGTGCTTCTCTGTAATATGTTTATTGGCTCTGAATGAAGCACAACTGATGGTTTGGTCACAGAAACCTGCCAGAGGGCAGCTTGCTTTAAAAGAAAAGAAACAACCGGTGACTTTTCAAGGTAACAGTGAACCTGAGGGTGCAGTTACACTTCAGCTTAAGCTGATTTAGGTGATTAGTTTTTAGCCAGCAAACTGTCCTGAACCTGCTCTCTGTAGGAGCACATAAACACTGGCTTTGCTGCTGGGGGCTGCACTGGGGGAAGGGACGGGGTGGGACTGCAGCAGCCCCAGCTTACACCGGTTTAAGAAGCCTTGAAGTCTCATTCTGACAAGAATGATGCAGATTTTTTCTAAATCTGTGAAATTCTTCTTCAGATTAGGAGTGCTCAGGGGTTTGTGTTTGTATGTATGTTTAATTTCAGTTGGCCTATTTCACCTTTTTTTCCCCTCCAGTTGCACCAGCATAAGCTTGCAGTGAGCAGCAGCTGGTTTTTGTGCTGCAGTCTCCAGACAGGTACATGCTAGCTTTAATATTTCACCTGGGATTAAACCATTAATACATCCATGACCATTTTAAACCCAGGAAGGAGAAGCTGTAGCCATACCTTCTGTGAGCTTTGCAGAGCAGAGAGCTAGGGAACGGTTCTGGTGTAGTAACAAAAATTGTTTAGGTGTTTCCAACTAAAATTTTACTCATTTTTGCCATAATGCAGCTAGATTTACAGATGTGATCAGTATGAAAGCAAATGCGCTTGCAGTTCACAGCTGTTAAGACTAAGCTTTAGGCACATTGCTGCAAGTGAAATGGACAGTTGCATAAAAGTTTATTCTATCTCAATAAACCAAATCAGCCTCAAATCAACCAGAGAAAAAGTTGTTTTGGCCCAAACCAGTCCCTGTTTATCTGCGAGGCACCAGGCATACCCGCACAGTGGGAGGAATTCAAATTACTCTCTGGGCAAAGGCAGTGTGGCTGGTCCACAAAGGAAACCCAGCGATTAAGTCACGGCAGGTACTATGCAGCATCATTATGGCAAAAATAATAGTTTCAGCCCAAAGTTTTCATCACTAATAATCTAGTTACAGTTAATCAAAAATTATTTTTACAGCAGAGCAATTTGTGAAGGAGGCCGTTAAAGTTGAAGGTGTCTGTTTCCCATTAAAAATAATCCATTTACTTCGATAGAGCAATCAAATGTTCTACATTAGAGGTACATTGCAAATATGTTTTTTTCCAAGTTTCCTCACGATAGCCTTGTAGAGATTTTTATGCTAACTAACGAGTTTTATTTGGTGTCCCAGTGAACTCTCAGTTGAAGCATGAGCTAACAGCAGTGTGTAAACCAGCCCTAGCACAGTGGGTGGAATCTGGGCAGTCTCACACACGCACAGAAATCAGCACCTTTATGGGAGGAATCTGTTTCCAACTGTTTCACCACATTTATCATCATTTGGAAGGACTCTACCAGCTGGTTCAGAAGAGATCCTGAACCCAACAGCATTAGTCTTAATGCCAGTTATTATGCTGTCTAGTAAAATGGACTGGGCACAAGGAGGAATTCGATTACTCCGTGAGCGTTCATAACTGTGTGGTGCACCACGTAACCACGCAGGGCGAGACACGGTAGCCGCAATGCCCTCACTTTATTAAAACATCAATTATCAAGCCAGCAATGTACTTCTGGAAATGAGATTATTCAGGAAATACTGATGCTTGAGAAAGGGAGAGACTTGGCCTCCAGCCTGGTTCCTGAGCTGACCCCAGGCGAGCAGGTGGCTTGTGATGGCCACACATTCCACCATATGTTATTCCTCAGTGCTGAGCATTGTATTAGCATCTGCAGTCTCTAAATTCATAGATCTTTTAATTAGCACAGCGGAAAAATGAGCAAAACCAGCAACAAAATCAGTAAGCGAAATAATAGAAGCTTCTGTGACATATAAAGCATATAAAACCATTACATTTTAGCCTGGTATTTGTTCTCTTCTGATGATTGAAATATTTAGTCCAGAAAAATTCCACTCAGATAAAAGCAGCCATCTCTTCACGAAGGATAACAAGCAAAGCATCCTGAGACAGACAAAAATAGGCTGTCTTGCAATCTCAGTGGCTCAGTTGTTCTCTGACCTTTCCATAGACAAGCTGCAGTCCAAATCCTCCACTGGCCATTAGCTGGCGCGAGGGACCAGTCTGCTCTGTTGCTGTTTCCCAATTCAGCGATCCTGCACTGCCTACGGAGCTTTCTCAACAGGCAGAATTTGAAGCTCTGGCCAGTACATGCTACAATCAGGAGGCTACATACTGGTTGTATTTCAGGTTGACAGGCTACCCCACCTTTAATTGGGAGCATGTTTAATTCCTCCAGATCCTGATGCAACAGGCATCAGATGAGTGTGGTCATTCTTCTAGCGTTTCCTCCAGCGTGGTTTGGAAACTTTGCTTGGTTGGGACTCTCGCCTGCATGGAAAAAGGCAAAAAGCTAATCTTAAATATGAAGAATTTACTTAATCCATGACTGAAATGCTGAATTCATAAAGCAAAATCATTATAAGTAATTACGGCTTGGCTATTGTATCATGTGAAGTGTGATATATTGGTGTATTATTATATTACAAAGAATTAACGAGCTTATATTTCTTATATAAGTCTCATTAACATTTCTTGTTTCGTAAATAAATTGTGGAAATGTGTCATACTCTTCTAGTATGTCGTTTTCCTTTGGTACTAACAGCCAATTAAAGTGTTAGGACATTGACAACCTCTAACTGTTTTCTACTCTGCCAGTGTTGACTGCAACCTTGAAACAATAACATTCAGGCATGGAAAATTTTCTGGCTGATGTTGCATGACATGAAGTGTGTGTTTTTATTTGCATGACTGCATAGGTGTAATAAAATTCCCACCTTAATGGACTTGTGCAAATACCTCTCAGAGGGTGCTAAATTACTTTTCAAATCAAGTTTTGTTCCACATTGGACCTGGACCTCAGAAAAGCGTATGCTTGTTGGCTTCTTCTGCCAAACCCAATTAAAGGTACCTCCTAGAGAAGCAGTTTTGGGTGAATCCACCGAGTGCCTTGACGACGTGGTGATCAGAGATGGTTGAATGAAACTGCCTTACTGTCTTAATCATTCTTTTTTTCTTTTTTTTCCCCTGCCTTCCCCTTAATATTTTTTTTCCAGGTGCGGTTAGAGTGGCCAACAGACCTCACAGTGAACCCTCTAGACAATTCACTCTACGTCCTGGACAACAACATTGTCCTGCAGATCTCTGAGAATAGGCGTGTGCGAATTATTGCAGGGCGCCCCATCCACTGCCAGGTGCCAGGCATCGACCACTTCATCGTCAGCAAGGTGGCCATCCATTCAACCCTGGAGTCAGCCAGGGCCATCGCTGTATCTCACAGCGGGATACTCTACATTGCAGAGACAGATGAAAGAAAGATCAACCGTATACAACAGGTCACAACCAACGGTGAGATCTCTATAATCGCTGGAGCCCCGTCAGATTGTGACTGCAAGATTGATCCTAATTGTGACTGTTTTTCAGGTAAGGCGATGCTAGTTATTTCCTGTCTCTTACCTGTTGATATCCCCTGGCACAGCTGCAGATTAGCGAAGTGACAAGGGGAAGGAGAGATGAGCAATGATTCAGTTTCCTTGGAAAGCCGAAAACCTTATCAGCAGCTCTTTGTGTATTTAATCCATTGGATGTAGAGATGTGAGTCTTCCAGTTGGCACTGGAGGAACCTCAGGGTGGTCTTAGCTTTTCCTCTTTTGAAACAGAGATTACACACCGTTCAAAATTAGCTCCCAGTCTGTCAGCTATGTTTGCCCATGTTGAAGATGGTACCGGCCCCAGTGAGATTGCACCTAAATGTTACTGGATCAGGCAGCCCTTCTCACCAAGAAGAGTACCAAAGTGTTTCACATCCAGTGAAAAACACTAGCTTATGCCTTCTCATGACTTGCATCACACTGCACAACCAGCAAAATGATGCAAACACATAATGTTCAGAATTTCTTCTTTGTGTGTTTTAAACTGGAACAGCCAGTGCCAGGCCCACACTGCACCACTGGACATTCTCAGCAACACAACTCCTCTCCCCTGCATGCACCAAAACAAATTGTGGCTTTTTTTTTTCATAAAAACATATTTCATAATGGGACAAAGGACAGCATTCCCATATACAGAGGTGTGCAGTATGTTGTCATCTTGTCATCTGTAAGAACCACTGTGTTCAGCTCCATAATATCATCATAATTCTTAAGCCTCTCATTTCAAGTAAAAGGTTAATTACTGACAAGAAAACATTAAGTATGTCAAGAATGGAGAGAAAAAAATGTAAATGGTCTTCCAGAGAAGGTGGGTTGCTGACCCAGCGTTGTAATGATAATCAAAGCTTCATGCGCATTGCCAAGTGCTGCCCGCTTCAGTTACCGCTGTGGTAGACCAGTGCTGAAAACAATCCTGTTCAGGGTTCCTGTTGAGGGAAACTGCCCTCAGTGCTGAAAAATTAAAAACTGTGGCAAATCTAACGACTGTGCCAGTGCTGGGTTGGTGAAAGGCAGGGTCAGAAGACCAGCTAATTTGTCCATCTCCGAGGAAGCACAGGGTATGCTCGAAATCTCCACCGAATTTCATTTCTCAGTTAGGAGAAGGGGAGCAATACAAGTGGTAATGTATTTTTCTCCAAGAGTGAGGTTTAATATGCTTTCTTGCTAGTTACAGAAAATCCTGCTTGTGTAAAGTTATTTTGATATGCATATACAGCCCATGATAATGCAAATATTCTCCTCAAACCTTGAAATACACAAACCAAGTAAATTATCAAGTGATACTGGAAGGATCTGGTTTCTCAAGGCCCTTTTTCACTGTTATTCTTGTTTTGTTCTCCTGTAGTGTTGAGTTTTTAATAAGTATAAACTAATCTTTTCTTCAGTGTCATTTTAGCTGAATTACTGGGTTTTATTTTCTCTTTGTTTTATTTATAACACATTCTACTTTAACTACATGCCAACAAACAAATAGTAGGGAATGAAACTTCATTTTTTTTTTCTTTCACAATTTTGCTATTAATGCTTTCCTGAGCAGCAGGGTTTTGGCCTTAGCAAAAATGGTGTAAATTAGATAATTTATATTCTTGCTTGTCTTCACTGAGACTGATTTAGAATTGCACCAACCTTAGATAATATGGATTTAATTAGTTGGAAGAAGATACTGTTTTATTGACCTGTAAATGATACTGAGGAGAAGCAGTGTGTCGGGCTATGGGGATCAGCTTAAATATGGACATTACAGATTACTAAAATTACCATTTCTCCTCCAGGTGATGGTGGATATGCCAAAGATGCAAAGCTGAAAGCACCTTCTTCTCTAGCAGTCTCTCCTGATGACACACTGTACATAGCAGACCTTGGCAATGTTCGCATCCGTGCAGTCAGCCGAAACAAGGCTCACCTCAGTGACACGAATATGTATGAGATTGCGTCGCCAGCAGACCAAGAACTGTATCAGTTTACCATCAACGGCACCCACCTGCACACGCTGAACCTCATCACGAGGGACTACATTTACAATTTCACCTACAGCGGGGAAGGGGATATTGGCACCATCACCAGCAGCAACGGGAATTCGGTTCACATCCGCAGAGACACGAGTGGGCTGCCCCTGTGGGTCGTGGTGCCGGGGGGCCAGGTGTACTGGCTAACAATAAGCAGCAATGGGGTTCTGAAAAGAGTTTATGCCCAAGGCTACAACCTGGCTCTGATGACATATCCTGGAAACACGGGGCTTCTGGCAACCAAAAGCGATGAAAATGGATGGACAACTGTGTATGAGTAAGTCCATGACATTAAATGCCTGGTGTAAGAAACCCTATTTTAAATGAACATTGAAATCTTTTTAGTTGGTTCTAGTAATTTAAAAAGCTACTCTGCTACTAACACTGCATGAGAAAGGACACGTAGTGCTGTTGCACTACAATTAAACCCTACCATTTCTTAAGTGACAAAGCCTGTCATATGTAAAAGCTATGTACGTAGTGCCCATTAAGCGTAGCAGAAACTGCCTGAAATCATACTTCATTTGCACTTTATTATTGTGAATCTGTTTCTCTAAATGAAAATATGATTGTGGAATTTTTTGTAACTAAAGAAGTAGAGGCAAGTCGTGATATGAATCAGGAATTTGCAAAATTCCTGAGGAAGGCAAAAAGGGGAAGATTAGCATATGCATTGGAGAAGGGAGTGTTGCAAAGGAAATTGAGAATTTCAGTGGAAGGAATATTCAAAGACGAGAGTGGACTTGTGTCTGTCAGCAGGGGAAGAGGATATATAATAACAAAAGGATATGTAACAGCAAAAGGCTATATGTAAGGGGAGTAGGAATGGCCTCGTAAGCAAGACTTTCAGGAGACCTTTGATGGGACTTTTAAAGAGCAAGACAAGACAGTTAAAGACGCAGTCAGAACATCCCAATCTGGTCCCAGAGAGAGAACAACCCAAGAGAAAGTTCGTTTTTGATTTATAAAGAGGTGCGATGTATCAGGATTTCTCGTTATTTATAATTAATTGTCATAATCCCGGTTTGAGGATCATAGAATCATAGAATCATTAAGGTTGGAAAAGACCTCTAAGATCATCAAGTCCAACCGTTAACCCAACACCACCATGCCCACTAAACCAGGTCCCTAAGCGCCTCATCTACACATCTTTTAAATACCTCCAGGGATGGGGACTCCACCACTTCCCTGGGCAGCCTGTTCCAAGGCCTGACCACTCTTTCAGTAAAGAAGTTTTTCCTAATGTCCAGTCTAAACCTCCCTTGGCGCAACTTGAGGCCATTTCCTCTCATCCTATCGCTAGTTACTTGGGAGAAGAGACCATCCCCCACCTCGCTACAACCTCCTTTCAGGGAGTTGTAGAGCGCGATGAGGTCTCCCCTCAGCCTCCTCTTCTCCAGGCTAAACAGCCCCAGTTCCCTCAGCCGCTCCTCATCAGACTTGTGCTCCAGACCCTTCACCAGCTTTGTTGCCCTTCTCTGGACACGCTCCAGCACCTCGATGTCCTTCTTGTAGTGAGGGGCCCAAAACTGAACCCAGGATTCGAGGTGCGGCCTCACCAGGGCCGAGTACAGGGGCACGATCACCTCCCTGCTCCTGCTGGCCACACTATTTCTGATACAGGCCAGGATGCCGTTGGCCTTCTTGGCCACCTGGGCACACTGCCGGCTCATGTTCAGCCGGCTGTCAACCAGCACCCCCAGGTCCTTTCCCTGAATGTGACAAGTGATGCATGGAAATCATATGTTAACATTGCAGTATTAGTTCAGAGTCTTCAAGGAGGATAATAATGCCTGCTTTCTGTGGAGCGTAGGAGTTCACAGTCAAAAACGACAATAAAAAGCCATCCAGGTGAGATATGAACAGAAAACACATTGAGGAGAATTCAGTTACTGCTAAGTCACCTGGAGAGGTAGTTGAGTCACCATCGTTACAGGTTTTTAGAATTGTATTTTCTTAAAATGGAAGTAGGATAAAAGCAGAGAAAACTGCTGCCTAGCGCGTGGGATTTTTTATTCAAGGGGATGTTTTTCCATCCTGCCCTCTATTATTCTGCCAAAGACTAAATTGATAGGGTGGACATAATTATAAACCATTAGAGAGGGCCATTTTTGACAATACATGGGAAAGCAAAACCATACAGGGCCTTCCTGGTTCAGTTCTCATTATCAGGCATCTATTGATACAAATTTATCTTGCAACAAGCTCACTGTTGTCCTGGTGCTGTTTAAACACCTTTCATAAGCAGAACTGACTTAAAATATATGCTTCTTTGTAATAATTTCAACACTGAGAGTGATCCATTTAAATCCCGACTTAAGCATGGCGTCAATCCAGACCATGGACGAATGACACTTTCAAAAAGCTTTTACAGTAGCTCCAAGTCATGCCTATTACTTCTTAAAATGCTGAACACCATGCGTTGTTGCAGAGCCTTGATTGTTAGAGCATGTTAGAGCAGATTATTTTTAGTCGTGTGCTTCTCAATCTCGGTGTTCTTCCTCTGTCCCATTGACATCGAGTGTAAACCATTTCACACAATTATTGCTTGTTATTGGCAGGTTGTTTGTTAAAGTATGACTCAAGCATTTTAAGATCTTTTAAAGGACTTCACCTGCTTGCAAGTGCCTCCCATTGTATGTAATACAGATTTCTGCACAAAGAGATACCTGTGCCTTGAAAGGATTGATATGATGTGTATGATTAATGCAACGAAATTTTGCGGAATTAAACAGTTTTTCATACTTTCATAGCTTTAACTGCAGGCTGGGTAACACTGCCCTCACTGATGCTTCGAGTTGTCCAGGCTTTGCACAACCGTGCACTTCTGCCAGACTAGATCAGTCAGGAGAAATTAACAGAATTACAGTTGTTAGCATTACAAAAACAACAGCAGAATTAAATAGGGAAGTCATGTCATTAATATTTATGTTCAGTCCAATATTTTAAGTCATCTTCATAATATATTACAAATTTCTGAATGGCTGATACGCAGAACATCACCCAGTCTGCTGCAGTCAGAGGGGCAGTTGACTATAATCAGCGCTGTGCTGAGTAGATGTGCTTTCAGGAGATGCTGCTCACCTTCTGCCATAAATAGGTCATGCGGCGTGATGGTCCTTAGTTATCCTGTAACCAGACATTATTTTCCAGACAGGTCACATTCTGAACTGATACCCGATTCCAGTTTGAAAATTTTTTTGAAGGGGTTACTTATGTGTGAATTGCTTCCGAGTCCTATATGAACATAGTATTGAAGCTAAGAGAATTATCATATAAGCAACTTTCAAATAGCTTGGAATCATCTTCTCTGCTTAAGCTAGATTTGCATTCACATCCAAAAGTTCAACCCATGGCACTGTCAAGCTGAAATAGGGATGAGTTTGTTTAACAACACGTATCACACATACTTGGGAATATGAGCAAAGATAATGAACTGTTCAGAACATCTACCTATATGTCAGATTCACTCACAGAGGGAAATTATTAAGAGGTAGAAAACCACCTACAAAAGTACTTGTCATCCATCTACTCTAATCTGATGGAATGGAAGTACTGAAAGAGCTCTTGCATAAAATTATAGCTAATGTACAATTTTCAGTCATCTAGATTTTTTTAATATTGTATCATTAAAGCTGTAAAAGGGGAGGGAGAGCACTGGGCCTCTATTAAATCAAGGACAAGAAAACACCTGCAAGAAACAACTCTCTGAAAAAATTAATTAGACCGCTTTCCCTTTGAAATTATATAACTCTTAACTGTGCTACACATAGAAATGCAAATGGATTGTGAAGCTGTATCCCCAAGTGTGCATTTCAAATATTGGTGAGCACTTCCTCATGTGAGTACTGAAATCAATGCAATTATTTGCATGATTAAATGGTCACTGACATGATTAACAGTGGCATAACTGGGCCCAAATTAACATCAAGAAATATGTCATGATTCTGCCCCTATTAGTATGTGTAGGATACTGCTCTGCCAGAATTGAGTCCCGGTGTGCTACTATTCATCATGTGAAAGATGGCAGAACCTGTCCTCGGAGGGTTGGGTTTCTTGGAGCAATCTGGAATAAAAAAACCCCTTTAGATGGTCATGCTGTGGAATTGTTATCGAGACACTAATCTGCATGTTCTCCTTGAAGTCAGTGGGACCATCTACATGAGTGAGAGTCCATTGGCATGTGCTCTAGTCTCATTATAATTCAGTACCGTATCTGGCCAGCCATCCGGTAACAGTTTATCCCATTTTCAGCTACACAGGGAGTTTTGTATCTCATCATCAGCACTATCAGCAGCAAAACTGGATCCTTAGTGAAGATGGATCCCGAGTCTTGCGCACAAGTACATTCCAATAAACTGGCTGCATTTACGCCATAAAAATGCATGATTTGGGGATTTTTCTATGGTATGGTAGAAAATCCAAATAACTTAGCAAGCTGTCATACTTGTTTGATCAAGCAGTAAATGAAATATAACTGCCCAATGTTCATGGAGTTTTCTAATGATGAAAAGTAGTGATCTGAGTCAATTTTAATCGCTGGGAGTGGCACCCAGTCAGTTTGCACAGAACCGGTGTAAGAGTGGAATGTAAATAAGTCGCATGATGTATGTCAGGGTAGTAGGAGGTGAAAGAGAGAGAAATTATATTGTATTTAACATTTGATTAATTTATTTGTCAAAAAACACAAGATGGTCACCAGTTCATTCTCCAGTGTTTCATCTGAAATGAACAGCTGCTCTATTTTTCTTTCTTATATTGGGGGGAAGAGAAAAATTACTGATTTTTTTCACCAGCAGTTCTTGTGGCAGAAAGATTTTGTCTGGCTAATTAGGGGGAAATAAAGATCCTAAGGAAATGATGCCAGCACATTAAAGTGAAGGACATAGCCAGATCGTCTGCTGATGTGAATTGGAAGAGCTCCATCGGAGGCAGCAGAGCTTTGCCGGTTGATACACCAGCTGAGGATATGTTTTGTGAACGAGCGGAGACAGTTAATAAAACATGAAAACTTAATTATGCTTTCCTACCTGCACAACTAGGCTTCTATTTTATGAACATGAGTTGGTTTTACTCATGCAAATACAACTGCAGTATCAGTGAGGTGTCTTGGATGAATAAAAATTTGTTAGCATCAATAAGGTTTTTAAGATGGAAGGCATTAATATGAAACAATATCAAACCCCAAGCAATGTTGTGCATTGTTTTCCATGTGAACCATCAGAAAGAACAAATAGATCTGTAGAACTAAAAAGACCTGTTAGAAACACTGCTCCAGAGCTTTTGAATTAATTATTGACTTTTTCATAACATGGCCCAATTCACATAAAGTACCTTAAATGAAAAGAATTTCTTTAGCACTGATGAAATTTAGGTGAACTGAAATGTGGTGCTCTAGATTCTGGTGTTGTTACTTTTTTTTTTGCTGATTCGAGTAGGCCCCTGGGAAACGTAACACAAGAGTAAAAACCATGTAGGCAACTTAATTGCTGCAGATTTCAATCTAATTTTATCGCTATTGTTACGCTTCAGGTCTCCTTTTTAAATTCACCATTCATATTATGTACTTCACACATCAGTAACAAAAGGCAGGTTTTGAATGTTGCAGAATCTAAGAATTGGTTTTATTTAAACTTACTGGTAAGAAAACGCCTTTTTGGGGGTGAGTTTGTTGCCTGAAGGCCGAGTGACCTCCAGCGGCCGCCCTCCCATATCACATCCCAGCGGGTTAAACCCCGACCCTCTGTGCGCAGCGCTGAAACCTCTGGCAGAAGCTGAATGATGTAGGTAGCATCTCATACTGTTCCCAGCTGCGTTGTATCCAGCACCACTGAAAAAGAGTCCAAGCAGGAATTTGGATTAGGGAATGAATGCATTTTGAGTGAATAAATGGACCAATTCTTACCTTTTTACTTATTGCGCAGTGCTGACAATGCTTCTTACTTTTTTCCCTTTTTTTTTTCTTTTAGGAGTATCTACAAGACAATAGTGATGTATTTTCATAGCTCTTTAACATCATGTCTTGCAGGTATGACTCCGATGGCCATCTGACCAACGCGACCTTCCCGACCGGGGAGGTCAGCAGTTTCCACAGTGATGTTGAAAAACTGACGCGAGTGGAACTTGATACTTCAAACAGAGAGAATGTGATCACAGCCACAAACTTCTCAGCTACCTCTACAATATATACTTTAAAACAAGGTAATTAAAGCATTTCTGTTATTTCTTCCCTAATCATTACGTTTCAAACCCTAGACATTATTGCATTCTTAACTGTTTGCCAAAAAAAGACATTAGAATTGTTTCTTCCTTGCTTCAGTACAAATAGCTAGATACCACTTATAATTCTCCTGGGGTACCAATTAGAAACAAACCACAAGTGAATTCTTCTCCTCTTAGAAGAGTCCCATGGATAGATTCTAGTTATTGAAATCTCTGATGTCTCTAGGCATAGAGAGAGATGACCCCATAGCACGTAAATGTGCTACTTTCTACTTCAGTATCTGGAGGACTTCGACTGACCTATAATACACTGAGTTTTGTTGTTCTGAGGAATACTGCCCAGAAGAATGACATGCTCCACTGACGTTTTAGCACTGAAACGCCTTGTTTGCCAATGCTGTGAATTCTTTCTGGTAGTGCTGTGTCCCGGTGACAGTGCTTGTAAGGAGAAAAGCATGACCCACCTCTGCTGGTGACTGCCTTGGGGGTGGGATTTTGACTCAATCCCTGTAGATACCACAGTATTTCCCTGGCAATATCATATCTTGAGAAGAAGAATTTATTCTCTGCCTAATGGAAGTGCCCCAGCGTCCTCCTCCAGATTTTGCAGATTCATCACCAAAGTTCTGGGTTTATGTAGTTTAATCGATCCGGGATTTTTTCTCCTTGTTGATTTTTTTGTTGTCAGTGGATTGTTCAGGCTTTGAGAGAGCAGGTGCTGGGAAATAGCTCTCTGATTTCCTTCCAGGTCTGCTATAGAAAAGCTTTGTAACTCTGAGCAAATCACAGGACTTTTCTTCCTCTCAGCTTTTGATCTATACGAAAAAAATAGGAAGAACTCACCTCACAAGATACTCACTCATTCCTCTTCACTATTGCATTGCAAAGACAGCACTGAATAAGTGGAAATAATTATATTATATTGTTGTGTCACCTGTTAGGCTTTGTTCAAGTGACCCCATCTGCTTTCTGCATCATTTACTGACTGCCTGATTGTATGTCTGTCTTTAAATCTGAAACTCCTTAAAGTTGGTATGTTACAAAATTCCGTCTCAGGAAAATGCTAGCACACTATGGGCAGTGCCAGAAACGGACAGTTATTATTATACCTATCGTATTTATGAATTCATATAATTTGCAGGTTTCCACGTCTCTGTGAAACTATCACAAAGCACCCTGTGAACAACCAGTCAGACATGGTATCCTTACATCTGAGTCACAAAGTCCCTTTTAATGTAATGCCTATTATCTTCACTTTCTGACATACCCAACTACTTTCCACATGCTCACATCTCAAGAGCTGGACCAGTTACTTCCGTGTGGCCCAGCTTGAAAAAAAGGATGCTTTTCATAGTCCCTAGCTGGTATGAATTCAATTGCATTTAAGGGTGACACTTTCGCGTTGTCTCTTTGCACTAAACACTCAGGCTCGTGATGGAGTTGCCCCCTGGCAGCTGAGCCACAGTGACCTCCCGCGTGCATGTCCCTCGCCTGACCAAATGCAAGGTGATGTGGCATGGCTCTGCCTGCAGTGGAGGAATTACAGCGCCCAGGCAAGAGAAAGGGAGCGGTGCAGTGGCTGTATGCCTTTCCATCCTTTCAGTGGAGACCTGCTCTGGACCCTCCGGGTGCTTCTGGCAGTTTTGGGGAGGGGGAGGAGGCTGTGCTAGGTCATCCCAGCTGCCCCCAACAGCCCTCAGCGGCACAGTCCTGAGCCTCTGGAGCTGCTCGCTGTGTCACCATTGCTGACCCATTCATTTTTTTGCCAACAACCACTTCCCAGTGGGTCTCTTGGACCAGCTCGTGGCTGACCGTCACTGTGCCTCTACCCCAGGGTCCTGCTGCTAATGGGGAAGAGGAGGAGGTTTTAGTACGGTGACACAGGGAAGAGGGACAGAATGGGAGACTGGCCATCATCCTAGACATTTTGCAAACAGCTTTCATGCTTGACTTCAGATACTCACTGCAGTCGTTCAAGCAGTACACTATCCTGTTAACAGATCCCAACGCGCTAAAATCATGAGAATATCGGTGGTCAAAAGCCAGCCCATGGGTTTACATACTTCTAAGCTGAAAGCAATCCTGCTGCAGGAAACCTTCACAATGGAAATGATCAGGCCAAATGTAATAAAAAGCTCTTTAGACATGGGAAGGCCTGGAGGTTGCAGGTTGCAAAAATCACGCTGCAGTTGGTGTATGTGCAGCTGTCTGTACCCGAGGGACAAACAAAGCCCTCTTGCACCTAACTTTTGCTTCGTAAATCCAGAGATCTGAACTTTTCTCTGTTCCCTGATTTTGGTTGTTGTTTTTTGACAGATAACACGCAGAATATCTACCGGGTCAGCCCAGATGGGTCTCTAAGAGTCACCTTTGCCAGTGGAATGGAAATCACGCTTAACACGGAGCCTCATATTCTAGCAGGGGTTGTCAGCCCCACTTTAGGGAAGTGCAATATCTCCCTTCCTGGAGAGCATAACTCAAATCTCATTGAATGGAGGCAAAGGAGGGAGCAGACCAAAGGCAATATCTCCACGTTTGAGAGAAGGCTAAGGGTAAGGCTTCCTCTTGTGTAAAGTGTAGTGTTCCCTTTGAAAGCTATTGAACTAAAATCATGTTGAAATGTTCTACTTTGTAAGAAGAGCAATGGAAATTTTGTATCAACGGTGGGCCCCAGCCATGAATTTCAAAACCAAACTCCTCCAACAGTCGCAGGGATGTTTGATCTCTGTTTGATTTTGGTTGTGAGACTTGACAAGACATAATTACTTTTTTTCTTCCTCTTCTTTTTCAACCAAGAACTTAATTATGGCTTTGGAAGAAGCTGCGAGCAAAGGACAATGCGTAGTTACTCTGGCACAGCAGCAGAGTTGGAGCCACATTCTGCTTCTCTCAGATCTATCGACCCTCTTTCATCTGGGGGAAATAACAAGTGCCGGCCTCTGCCTGGGGCAGAGGGTCTCACAGGGCACTTGGGTGTCCCGGCCAGTGCGTTTCCTGCAAGCCAGAGGGATGTACAGCCTCCCTGTGTATCTGGACAGGCTGTGTATTCTGCCCTCTACCACACGCTCTCAAGCCCCCTCACTCCCTCTGGCTGGGTTACACTATGGCTCTAATAAATAACTACTTTAACGTTGCATCCATGGTTTAATTTTATCTGTGAGGAGAACTCACAGATTACAATGACAGATGGTCAACAGTCAGCATTTAATTAGCTAACACTAAGGCTCAAAGAGACTGCTACCTTGCAGAACCATTTTTTTTTACGGAATCAGTTCTGGTTTTCACATGAATACTCCTTAAAACGCCTGTACCAGTAGTACGACTGGGAATTTTGGCTTTAAAAATATTGCATTATTAACTACAACCTTTCTGTATAGGTGTTATCTCTGAAGGTACATCTGTTAGCTCTGAAAATACAGAGATGGTTATTAAAATCTCTGGATTGTCTTTTGGTTATGAGATACTATATCTTTTTTAAAAGTCTATCTTCTGTTTGGTTTTCAACTGCTCTGATCAATCAAAAACGGAAGACTTGGATGATCTGGCCGGACTGGCCACTGCGTGTGAAACACCTGTTTGAAAGGACATCTTTCAGATTTGACGGTCACAGTTACTTTATTAGGATCTTACAAGTGGGGAAAAGCTTCATTTAGTTTTTCTTGCCCGTCTTCTGACTGCCTCCTCTCTAGCATAGTGTGAGTCCTCACAGCCCTGTCTGGGGAGGCAGCTGAACTTATTACAGTGACAAATGTGTGTTAAGATGGCAGGATCCAAACTATGACCTCCATGGCTCACGTTACCTAATCAATTGACTTTTGTGTGATTTTGTGCTTAAATAACTGCATGGCACATTTTTCTTTAAGGATCTTATGTAGTAAAATCTTAAACGGAAAGGATGTAGTCAGTCATCTATTCTGCTTACATTGCCAGGGCCAAGTTGTTCATGACAGTTATATTTAATGTAAGTACTTCATCCTGCACAGTTTTCCTATTATGCCGTTTATATTTTCTATTGTTGAAATTGATTGCAGGTTCTTTTAACTCGTTTTCACTTGCTTCTGCACGATCCTTAATATTGCCTGCCAAAAAAGGGAGGAAATTCACAAATTGGTCAGGATTAAATGGATTCTGGCTGGAGGCATAAAATGTTCATTGAAATACTGCAACACTGAAGCTATCCAGAGCTCAGCTGATTGACCTGCCTCTGGATCAGTCTGTTGGTGCATAGAACCACTCGTGTACTCCTCCTTCTCCTCCTCACCTTCATCCAGTGAGAGGATGGAAGGGGAAGGTGAAGTGTAAGAACGATTTTGATGTGCTGCTGTCTTATATTCTCTGTCCTTCCAAAAGCATCCACTAGCGTCACAGCAGTTGATCATTGTGTTGTTATTTCTGTAAATGGTGTCTTTTTATACCTACCCAAGATCAAGGGGGCTTATGGATTGTCCCTGTCTACTCAGAAGGACAAGGCAGCTGCCTGTATTACAATGTTTTCCCCTCCCTTGACTGTACTGCACTCTAGGACCATCTGTTTGAGGGCTGTCAGGGCAAGGCTGGAGGGAACCTGTTGGGACAACACATTAAATGAGGATTTGGTAGTGGAAAGGAGGAGAAATATTCTCCGCATAGGATACACCATGTAAATAGACACAAGAGAAAAGGACAAATGGACTATCGAGGCTGTTACTGCCAATGAGGAGGACTTTGGAGGATAGGTGAGATAAATGGGTCCTGGAGTTCAGTTCACTGAGAAGTTTGCATGGGAAGGTGATGGAGTGGGGAGTCAGCAGAGGTGGAAGGAGCTGGAACAGTGCAGCTGGCGAGGAGGGCAAAGGAGCGGCAGAATTTACCCAGAGACAGCTATCTTTCCTTGGTGATTAAAGGAAATATGCAGGACAGCAGGAGCAAAAATACCATCATTTAGTGTGTTTGAAGCAGTACCCCAAATAATGAAAGGGATTTAGGGCTTACTGTTGACAGGTCCTTGAGTACTGCTGGGAAAAAAAATGTAGCATCATTAGAAGCCCTTATGCTGGATGAAGTTCTGGTGAGACGTTCTGAAAACTTCTGGTGAGTTATATTTTAAACAGAAAGTTTTTAAACACTTAATATGCCATGACTGGCATAATAGGAAGTGTGTTAGAAAGCTTGCAATGTAGGGCAGAAAGAACTATGCTGAACTTTGAAAATATATGTAAAGCAAAGCTCTGGGGATTGGACCAGTTCTCAATGGAAATGAACAGACTTGCAGGAGCTCTCAGTTAAAGAAAAAAACCAGCACAATGGAAGAGTTTTCTGAGGGAAAAAAAAAAAGCATAGAAATGAAGTTTGAAGGTATTACTTAGAGATCAGTCCTGATACCATCATTGAAACGAACGGCTTTGAGTGCCAAGAGGTATAAATTAGAAGGCAGGTAAAGGATGACCTAGTTGAGAAGAAGAAAGCTTTGCCTTCTCTGCCTGGTCCTAACATTTTTAATTCTTAATAGCAATTAGCAACCATCTTGAAAGCATGTCACATTAGTATTATTTCCAGTTTTGGAAGGAGGCCACTGTTAGCACATTCTGAATACTGCTGTAATGTTGTGTTTTAAAAAGTGGGATTTTTGCATGGTGCGAATTCCCTGCTCTAGAAATAGAGCAGAAGTGAGTAAGTTAACTGAAATGCTAGAACAGGCTTCTAACTTTATCTCAGTGTCTAAATCAATGTGGAAAACAGGAATTAATCACAGGTTTCCTTTAAGTGCAGAACTGCCTGCCCTGGCGCTTCCTGAAAGTATATAAAAGAGTCTGTAGGCATGTACGCATTTTATATTAATAATAAATCTATGTAAAATCAGGCATTTTAACATCAATCTTAATCTAGCAAGACTTCTTTTTTATCAATTGAACTGCTATTTTAATTGACTTCTAAAAATGAAGCAAAGGCTGTTGTTAAAACCAATGAGCATGATGCATAGTAATATACCGATTAGAATGCAGCTCTGTTCCCTCCTGCCTTTTGCATAACTTAGAGGAACTTGGCATTGGATGCAGTCCAGGTTTTATAACTGAGTATCTACGAAATTGAAAATTGAATGCTTGGCCAGTCTTACTTATTTTTGCTTTTTTTTCTCCTTTTAATAACAAAAAAGGGAGTAACTCACTGGCCTCAGTTCAAAAGTCCTGCAGATACAGGCTTTGACAGCTATGTTTATTATTGCATTTAGCAAATGATCTCCCTTTATTTACCAGCCTTACAGCAAGTTCTCATGGTACGACCAAATCCTCTGCCAGTGTGTATCAGTTTACGTTGACTCAAATCAAAACACAGGCAAGGAAATTATACAATCATCTCATCTGATTTACACATTGTAGGCAGTTTAGGTTTGAGAATGAAAGTCAAGAGAAGTGCACATTTATGCAATTATTTACACTGCAAAATTTCTAGCTATAAAACTAATGGAAGTACAGTCAAGAAATGTTTAAAAATATATAATGAATATATCTTTTTAGGCACTGTTAACATTATTACTGAAGTCAGCTGAATTTTCTCCCTATTTTCATCAGCTGAAATTCTGACCTGACATTGCTTTCAGAAACCAGTTGTCCCTGGCTTGTAACAGAACACGTGAGCTCCAGCCTCTCACAGGGGCTCCTTACTGCGTTGTATGTACGTTGGAGGAGTTGTCTTTAAGAAGCCACTGGGATTTGAAATCAGCTTTTCCGTGACAACGTTGAAATGAGGCCTGCTACCCATGTATCGTCCTGTCTTGCCTTGAGAAGGGTGTTAAATTTAACTTAAATCTAATATAGGAAAGTAAATAAATGAGACATAAAATGTGAAATATAAGGGAAGTAATGGCATCCACCTAAACCTTATTTTAACTCTGTGAGCTTTCAAATACTGCTGCTCTCCACTTCGCTGCTAATTCTGCTTCTGTTTGGTTTTCAGTCTTATTTCTTGTATCGTCCCTGAAATTTAGATTGCAAGCAATTTGTACTCAAGACTTTCCTTTCTCCTAACTGCATTCTACAATAATAATAATAGCAATAAGAACATTAAATGTGTACATAGACAGTAAATGAATATGGGCCAGGGTATATCCCCTGCTTGCTTTTCAGCTATTTTACCACGAAGAGGATTTGTTTTCAGAAATTGCAAGAAGTTTGCAAAGAAATATATTATAATAAACTTAATCCATCAGACTGTATACAAGCAAATATAGTTGAACTGAGCATCACATTTTACTTGGGCTCCTTAACTATCGTTAGAGCATAAATTGTAATAGTTACAGCAGTCTACAGGGGTATATAGGTATTTTATAGCTATTGTAAATGAACACTATTAAAGTTAGACATGTGTGTATATAAAACCCCAGGAATGGTAGTTGAAGAAAGAACACCTGCTTCTTCTAGATTTTCAAATTATTTTGTATCTAAAAACAGAAAAGGGAAAGAAAAAAAATGTTCTTTCTAATCACTACCACCATACGATCACAGCTTGAATTATTAAACAGGTATTCTTAACCATTTACTCTACGGCTACGCCTCCAGGACTCAGTGAGGAGCAAGTACTGTGCCGTGCACTGTGCTAACACCTGCACTGACATAGTCTCTGCTGTAAGGAATTTATTAATTGGAATAGATTAATACAAGTGATTAGATAAAACGCAGTAGATTAATACAATGAGCACATTGAGCATTGATCTGAAAAAGAGACAAGTCAATGAAAAATGTCTTATGGGTCCCTAAATTATATCTCTGATTTAAATGGAGTTTAATAGTGATTGCCCAGTGACTGAATGATGTAAGGAGGAAGATGATGCAAGCACTGGATAAATATATTTTGTCTTCATGTATCTGGCTCAGCTTTGAACTTGATTTCAAACTGAGAATTGGGCTGCCCCTCTCCATTTTCCTGTTGGACCATGAATGTTAACAGATCGTAGCACGGTCACTCTGTTAGTGTGTCGGACACAGTGAGTTTAACAAATGTTGCAGGTCCCACACGTGGTGAGAGAGCTGCAACATGGATTACGGCTGGCAGCAGGCACCGCTGCCGCTGGCTTTCATGAGCTCTGGGAGCGGCGTGGTTTTGTGAAGAAGTATGAGGATGCTGGTGAGCAGGGTCTTCGGGAGCCGCAAGCACAGCTCTTCCCTTTGCGGCATCGGTATGCAACCTGGCGTGGGCTATCCCAGAGCAGTAGCTGACCCGTCAACATTAACGGAGCTTAAGAGAGAGGATGTGAGATAGGATATCTCGGTTGATTTGTGGGCTTGACTACACATCTTTGGCTGGAATCAAAAAGCCCATCCACAGAGAGATGAAAGTTGAGAAGAAAGAAGGAAAACTTAGGAAAAGGTGAGAGCAGAGGTGCGGGTTTAGCACACGGAAATAGGAAGCATCTTGTAATGCAAAGTGTAACAACACTGAATGCAAGCAGCATTTTGTTTCTTGGTCCTCCTGTTTCTCATCTGAATATTTTTCTGTTTTCTTGTCTTTAAAAAGGCCTAAATTCTCCATCATAATGTTAAACCATTGCACATTTTGATTAGAGCCGATACAGAAATGTTGTGTTGTGTGTAATTAAGATGCATTGTTTTCTTACCTTGCTGTGCTTTGTGTTTAGGCCCACAACAGAAACCTGCTCTCCATTGATTTCGATCATGTCACCAGAACAGGAAAGATTTATGATGATCATCGAAAATTCACTCTTCGGATTATGTATGACCAGACAGGACGCCCAATTTTATGGTCACCCATCAGCAAGTACAATGAGGTCAATATCACTTATTCACATTCTGGATTAGTCACCTATATCCAAAGAGGAACCTGGACTGAGAAAATGGAGTATGATCCAAGTGGGAACATAATTTCCAGAACATGGGCAGATGGTAAAATATGGAGTTACACATATTTAGAAAAGGTAAATCATTTAAAAAGTGGATTGTTGTACCAAGGCAAAAATGTTTGTTTTGATATAGATATTATATTGTGAACTATGTTATAATGCTACCTCTTGCGAGAGTATTTAAGACTTTTTAAACAGAAAATGCATACAGTTACATAACTAGATAAAAATGTCTCTGGACATGCTTAGACCTACATGTCATCCGTTCAAACCTGCCATAGTGAGTTCAGAAGAAAGTTATCAGCACCTCAGATTTGTTTAATGGGTAGGTAAAAATGACTTCTTGGTCTCAGTCTGAGTTCAAGCGAACAAAGGACACTCTCACTGCTGAAAAACATGTTGCTACTCTATATCACATAGTCAAAAATATAACAGTCGCTGAAAGGGAACTTTTTGCTTCCCACAAACACAGTTCTTTTAAGCGAAAATTATGAGGCAGAGAGTACAAGCTTGCACCTATTCAGTGCTGCACTGTAAAAAAGGGATTGATCCTGTGAGGAGACAGATTACTTCAGTATTTACGAGGGCCATTTGGGGGGGAAACATTAATATGAAATGAGTTACTGCTCTGCCTTTATAGTGACTTCGTGTCTAAATTGCCTGAGTATAGCAATTTTCATTTATGTCTATAGGTAATGGTCACAAAATGGGGGAATAAGTGTTGTACAGACTAAGCAAGAACAGCATCTCCTTCACCTTTAGAAGCATCTCATTTGGTCTTGCCTCTCAAAACCAAAAAGCCCATCTCTATTTTTAAAGCTTTCAGAACTTAGTGTGAAATTGTATTCAAACAGCATCCTTTTAACCTTTTTTTTTTAAATAGCAACGTTTTGGACTATCCGACATACCCTGAGTTTGCAGAACATTTTCTCTGAACAGGGAAAGGCTAGGAGGGGGCAGGTGAGGTAAGACTGATAAGGGGGTATTACATGCAGGAAATCCAATGACTTTCAAGCTATTTCTATATTAAAAAGTTCCAAATGTGTACTTTTAAGATAAACTTTGCTGTACTGATTTTGAATGTATTTAAGCTTGATCCTCAAAAAACTTAAACCTAACCCAGAGAAAAAAATCATTTAGACTGGAGAATGCACAAAAATGTGATTCCTTCCTTGTCTGCACGCGGTATGGTTCTTGTATGTGTTAAGAAGATTGGCAAACCCTAGAAGCTTCAGAAGTTTGGTTCAGATAAATTTGTCAGGGCTTCTTTTGTCTGTATGCTCTTCTGCAAATTGCAAGTAAACAGGCATTTAGTACAGCTTTCAAATATTTGGGCAATGTGCCTTTTGGAGGAATTTTTTTTTCTTTGGGCCTAATGGACCATAATTTTGGAAAGATGTATGCTTCTTATCTTTCCAAAGCACTTCGCCTATTCTTAGTTTATGATGAGCTTATAAATAAATTCATATAGCTTAAAACTGTTCTGGAATTCTACACAAGTGGTCAAATCCTGATCTTGTAGAAGCAAATGGCGAAAGCTTACTGGTTCAGGTAGCAGCAGGCTTGGGTTATGCTGTAACTTGTCATGAAACTTATTGAAAGTCATACACACCATGGACATAATCTCCCAGCTATTTAATGTACTTTCCTCACTGTTTGTTCCTTGTGCCAAAGAAAGATGAATTCACTGTCAAAATTGGACATTGAAATATCATTTTGTGGCTCCATTAAAGTCCATAACTCACTGCTTTAATTATGTAATGATTGCTAAAGGTTGTCTGAAACCTCATAAGACCCAATGATTCCTTCTATCAAAAAATCAATTATATAGTTCGCTTCCAATTCATGGTTATTTAATTCTTCATTTTTTAGCACTTGATGAGTTAATTGTACATCCTCAAAAATCTCTACCCCTTCCAAAATTATCTCCAATAATTCAGGGTTTAGAAAGCACTATGATAGTAGAACTGTAAATAATTTTTACTGATGAGATTCAGTTTCTCTTGTTTTGGGCACTTTCCTCGATTAGTTAATGGTGTTATAAAATCTCCTGAATTCTCCAAGCTTGCTTCCGGAATCCTGCCGCTTACCACAGACAAAATAGATGAGCGGTTGCCTGTGTATCTTGGACAGAAATGACATCTAGTGGTGATGTTCAGCATTTCTCTGTGCTCCCAGTAGAGCTCCAAGTAATTGCCATTGGCTGTTTGTCTGGATACACCATGTGGCATCAATCATTACGTGGTTGACCAGGCTCTGGTTGCTTTTATAAAATGACACCTTTTTGGATGTTTTATGAGCTACCCTCTGAAATCCTTTAAAACAATTAGAACCCAATTTGTGCAAAGACTTGGAAAATCTATTGTAATATTATTAGGATGAATTGGGAATTAATTTTTTTTCTCTTTATGGTATCCTCTAATAGGCTAGAGAGGATACTAAGTCTCCAACCCTTGTACTGTCTATCCTTTTACTATCTTGGACAAAAGTGGAAAAGCCACAAAGTGCTGTAAAAATGGCACACAGGGGCACTAAAGTTATATTAGAGATGTTTCTGATCTTGTTATTCATACGCTGTCAATGGCAGACAGCTTAAAAACAGGCCCGGGAGCAGTATAGAGAGAGAGGCGTCACATCAGTGCTAGGAGAGAGTTCAGCCAGTGGTTTACTGCAGACTGGGGACTCTTGACTGAAGGTGAAAACAAAATAAACACTCTGCGTGTTAGAAATGCTTGGCAGACCAGCAATAAAGCGATCAGGAAAAGCTCGGTGTAAAGGTCTGTCGTCACCTGTTGGCAGAGGATAACTTGCGAGTGGCATACGTTGGTGCGCTCTGGCTCGTGTGCAGGTGACAGATGTCTTTCATCAAGGGCAGGAAGAAATACATCTTGGGAGGGCGGGAGGCTGGGGGTGCAGAGGGGATGGCCAAGGCTTAGCCTGTCTTCGGTCCTTGGAATAAGCACTTGGGTTATTTGTCAGAGCAAAGTGGCTCAGGGCCAATGTTACTTCACACATTGCAGGGCTGAGCTCTCAGTGTTTTCTTCCCAGAGAAGATTTTTGAGCTTAGAGGGAAAAAAAGCCTTTTCTTCCTGATTTCTTTCCCCAATGCTCTATGAAAAAGCAGTCACACTGTTTCTCATAAAACTTTGTTTTGCGTGATGTCTCAATCATGCAGAAGCCTGACAAATTTGCTTCTGTGCTTGGTAGGTTTGGGGCTGTGGGCTAAGAACTGTGCAGTGTCAGCGCCCCGGCTCAGCTCAGACAGCGTGGCAAGGGCGTGCAGTGCCCTGGGCCGGCCAAACCACTTACTGGAGCTGGGGGAAGGCTACAAAGTTCCCCCGTATATTTTCACTCTGTTTTCATTATGCTTGTTTCAACAGTGACAGTTTACCAGTGGGCTTGTGCTCTGTGACACCATGACTTTGCACATGACTGGTGAAAACCCAAACTTTAAATTTGCACAAAAAAGTGTCTGCCATGCTTGCATGTTCATCTGCCAAACAAACCAACAAACCAGATTTCATTGACCAGTCACAATTAACCAACACAGGGCAAATATCAAGTACCTGTGTAGAAATTATATTCTTTGTAAACATTAAAAAACAGAGATAGAAGTAGTCACACCAAAGAACCTGCAGACTATTTTCATCCATCTGTAAGCACAGAGATACTATGACCTCTGGGGCAATGTGCATTTAATAGAAGACATACAGAATAAGGGGTAGGTGTGTGATAGAGATATGCAGAGCGCCCATGAAAGCTAAACACCTTGTACGCACCATTGAACGTTCCCCCTTTCCACCTCTCCTAGAAACATCTGCTGGTGCAGATGCTCTGCCTGTGTGTGAGGAAGAGGTTCCCTCTGGTTTTGCTTCCTGGGAGGATGACCTAAATACTTCAAAGCAACATAGCAAGTCAGCATGAGACTGAAATGCTACTGAGAACCACATCTGCCTTCCAGTTTGGAGGTCCTTACCTCTAGACTTACTGTTATTTTCCTCCTGTTTTGTACCACCTTGCTGGCCAGGTCTCCTGGAGCTGAAAGCTTCACTTGGAATTGTACAGACAGTAAGAGCAAACTACAAGAGTGGATGATTGTTTCAGCATTTCTTTAACCTTCAGGCACTCACTAGATGAATAATCGTTTGCTTGATCAGCCACTTATACTGCCATTCCTGTTTGATTGCAGTCCGTGATGCTCCTGTTGCACAGCCAGCGCCGCTACATCTTTGAGTACGACCAGTCCGACTACCTGCTCTCGGTCACCATGCCGAGCATGGTGCGCCATGCCTTGCAAACCATGCTGTCCGTCGGGTACTACCGCAACATCTATACCCCTCCGGACAGCAATGCGGCTTTCATACAGGACGTCACCAGAGATGGTCGGCTTCTGCAAACATTGTATCCTGGGACAGGACGCAGAGTCCTGTACAAATACACCAAACAGTCCCGACTTTCCGAGATTCTTTATGATACTACTCAAGTCACGTTCACCTATGAGGAATCTTCTGGGGTTATTAAAACAATACATTTAATGCATGATGGGTTCATCTGTACCATCAGATACAGGCAAACAGGTTTGTGTAACTGTCACTACTTTGCTAAAGTTTTTGGCCCTGATCCTGGACTTACCTGGCAGGAAATTCCATTATTTTTATGTCTACAAGTTCTTATATTTTATGTTTCTATAGAAAAATATTTTTGTGTATCTCTCTGTCTGTGTCCACAGGCATATATAGCTGTCCCATTTGAAATAGTTTTCTTTTTATTGCTTGGTATGGAATAGCTCTTAAAATGTTTGATTGTTTTTATTCCACTGTGTGGATATTTGCTAAATATTAAATCAAGTTGTTTTATTGTTTGTATTTTCAAGTTTCCCTGTTTATACCATAATACAGCATAAATTCAAAAACACTGTTTATATGAGGAAGGAAATCACCACGTAAAATAATTTAGTTTAGAATTATCTTGTAAGTAAATAGAAATCATAATTATGAATAAAATAGTATTCATTTAAACAAATGTTAATAAAATATAAATATTTTGTTGAGCAAGCATTGATAAAGGTTTGTGAGAGAATAATCTAACAAATTCTTAGTTAATGGTATTTTCTGAGACAGTCAAGTAGCAATAAGGCTTAAGGGTATATTTGAGTTCATCGCCTGTCTGTGCTAGATCCGTAGGGTAAGTATACTGTGGACATAATTCATTATTTTTCTTGCCTTTCCTCTTTCCCCTACTTGTTTTGGACAGGTCCGCTTATTGGTCGCCAGATCTTCAGGTTTAGTGAAGAAGGCCTTGTAAATGCCAGATTTGACTACAGCTATAACAACTTCCGTGTCACGAGCATGCAGGCCATGATAAACGAGACGCCTCTTCCCATAGATCTGTACCGTTACGTCGATGTTTCTGGCAGGACTGAACAATTTGGAAAATTCAGTGTAATTAATTATGATTTAAACCAAGTTATAACCACCACTGTGATGAAACATACCAAAATTTTTAGTGCCAATGGTCAGGTGATTGAAGTACAATATGAAATTCTCAAGTCTATCGCTTACTGGATGACCATCCAATATGATAACATGGGTCGTATGGTGATCTGTGATATACGCGTAGGTGTAGATGCCAATATAACAAGATATTTTTATGAATATGATGCTGATGGTCAACTTCAGACTGTGTCTGTGAATGATAAAACCCAGTGGCGCTACAGCTATGACCTTAATGGCAACATCAACTTGCTGAGCCATGGAAACAGTGCGCGCCTCACTCCTCTGAGATACGATCTGAGAGATCGCATTACCAGACTTGGAGAAATTCAATATAAAATGGACGAAGATGGGTTTCTCAGGCAAAGAGGCAATGAGATCTTTGAGTACAACTCTAATGGTCTGCTGAACAAAGCGTACAACAAAGTGTCCGGCTGGACTGTGCAATACTGTTACGATGGTCTTGGAAGACGAGTTGCAAGCAAATCAAGCCTAGGACAACACTTACAGTTCTTCTATGCTGATCTCTCCAACCCAATAAGAGTTACTCACTTGTACAATCATACTAGCTCGGAAATAACATCCCTATATTATGATCTTCAAGGTCATCTCATTGCAATGGAATTAAGCAGTGGAGAAGAGTATTATGTTGCTTGTGATAACACTGGAACACCTCTAGCTGTATTTAGCAGTCGGGGCCAAGTCATAAAAGAAATTTTGTACACCCCATATGGAGAGATCTACCAGGACACTAATCCAGATTTCCAGGTTATCATTGGTTTTCATGGAGGGCTCTATGATTCTCTTACTAAATTAGTTCATCTGGGTCAGCGGGACTATGATGTCATTGCTGGTCGGTGGACGACACCAAATCATCATATATGGAAACACCTGAATGCTGTCCCACAACCATTTAATCTCTACTCATTTGAAAATAATTACCCAGTTGGCAGAATCCAAGATGTTGCTAAGTATACAACAGGTAAAAGTAACATGTTTCTCATGAAAATACAACTTTTGATCAAATTCTGGTATGGATTCAAGACTCCAGAAATCTTCTGCATGTATCTGAAGTTACTATTTGGCTCTCATCTTACATATATTGAAGTAATTTCTTTAATAGGTAACATCTTAGTGAGCTCGATCTGTTTTCTATAGCCTTTATAGTAACCAAGAAAATAATTAATAATTGTTTCTGGTGCTTTTCTAAGTGCTAAAATTAGGGGAAGAATAGAGGCAGCTTAATTTGAATTTTTTCCATTATAAATACATAGAAGGTACACTATTGATTTGAGTATAGCTATGCTTTGTAATCAAATAATTTGCTTGCTACAATAAATGCTGTAACCAGTACTGAAAACATAAATTGATGTGAAATCGTTATTTCTGTATAGCTGGGATTTCTGCATACTACCCTCACTTTTTCTAGGATTTATGTGCCTTATTGCCAGCATCCTTTTCTTGTTCTGTAGACATTGGAAGTTGGCTAGAGCTGTTTGGTTTCCAGTTGCACAACGTACTACCTGGATTCCCAAAACCAGAAATAGAAGCTTTGGAGACAACATACGAACTTCTACAGCTTCAAACAAAAACTCAAGAGTGGGATCCTGGAAAGGTTAGCAAAAACCCTGTTCTGCTGCTTCTAATACTAAATTAAGGAATTTGATTAGAAAATATTGGAGACCAAGGAAACAATGTGACTGTGTATTTCAACATAATAGGCAAGGCAAACAGTCTAACAATGCTAGAAACTGCAATGTTGTCACATTATGTACAGGCATCAGAGCGGAGGAGAAGCTTTTAGGAACACAGTGAAGAAACTTTGCAGCTGTTTACAGAGAAACCATCCAAATTTGAGGGGCAGGATAGGCAAAAGGATAAAGGTGTTTGACTGAAAATTGAAAAAGCTACAAAAAATTTTGTGGAAATAAAAAGTTAAAACCACAGATTTTTCATCTTTGTTAGCAAAGATGCTACAAAAGATGCAAAATCACTGAGGGTATAAACAGCTTTACAAGTCTGTAACTCTGCATAATTATTGCAGGAAAACAGAAATGTTGCTATGGAGGGAATCTGTAAAACTCAATCTTGTTCCAGGGCTTATTTTCAGTAAAGAAGAGCCGTGCAGCTAGCAGGGTGCAACAGGACCAACTACCGATATTCTGAGCAGGTGTTCATGTTTTGCATTTGACCGTACGAGCATCTGTTAACAAAGAAATACGATTTTGCAAAGATGAGAGAGAAAAGATGCCTTTCCTCTAATGTAGTCAGGAAAAGGAAGAATAAAGTGTTGTGAGTTCATGTTAGTAGCATTTAACATGCTTCTTTTCCCATGCACAAATGACTGCACAACGTGCAGAGGGCTGGAGGGTCAGAGCTTCTTCCAGATGTAGGAGCGTGTCCATGTAAAATTGTCACTGAGATATTAAAGAAGCTATTACAAAGGCACAGAAAAAGTGTAGTGGTAAGTATACTGTTAAAAGACAAACAGATGGTTGGAGTGAGGTTTTTTTAGCCTCAGTGGGGAGCAAGATCTACAGATCCGATGTACTTGCGTGGTTCCTATTGTTCTAGTGTCTTGAGACCTTCACAGCCTGCTTTCCTTAAAGAATGGGCTATAAAAACTGTTACTGCTATTTTACAGAAGACGTAATTAGACACACAGAGACTAAGCATAGAATCATGTGAAAAAGCACAGCTTTGAGTTCAGGTTTCCCCACGCCTAAGAGTCAAAACACCAGCCATTAGAATAACAATTCAAGGCGGGGGGGGCGGGGAGAAGAAAAAAGAAGAATAAATATGAAAATAGCATTTGTGATAAACATGTTTTCCATTTGTTTTCTAGAAACGAAAGAGTCCAAGAGACAGAAAGCAATACCTTAGGCAATTAGAAAGCATGCACATATAGTCAGGCTCTGTAGATGTGCACGATGTTTTCCAAACAAATTGAAGATCCGTTCTAAGCAATTAAGAGATCAGTAGGGTCTGTGAGACACTATAATGAACTGCAAGATGCCTCACCTGCAAACTATCGGTATTTTCTTTTCCAGACTATCCTTGGTATTCAGTGTGAGCTACAAAAGCAACTCCGAAACTTCATATCCTTGGATCAACTTCCTATGACACCCAGGTATAGTGATGGCAAGTGCTATGAGGGAGTGAGGCAACCGAGATTTGCAGCTATTCCTTCAGTATTCGGAAAAGGCATCAAATTCGCTATAAAGGATGGTATAGTGACAGCTGACATTATAGGCGTGGCTAACGAGGACAGCCGGCGCATTGCTGCCATCCTCAACAACGCTCACTATCTGGAGAACCTGCATTTCACCATAGAGGGCCGAGACACGCATTACTTCATCAAGCTGGGGTCTTTGGAAGAAGATTTGGTCCTAATCGGCAACACCGGAGGACGACGCATCTTGGAGAACGGCGTCAACGTCACAGTGTCGCAGATGACTTCTGTGATCAACGGGAGGACTAGACGCTTTGCTGACATCCAGCTCCAGCACGGCGCGCTGTGCTTTAACGTTCGGTACGGAACGACGGTGGAAGAAGAAAAGAACCATGTCTTGGAGGTAGCCAGGCAGAGAGCCGTGGCTCAGGCCTGGACTAAGGAGCAGAGGCGGCTGCAGGAAGGGGAAGAAGGTATTAGGGCATGGACAGACGGAGAGAAACAGCAGCTTTTAAGCACTGGGCGGGTACAAGGCTACGATGGATATTTTGTTTTATCAGTGGAGCAGTATCTCGAACTTTCTGACAGTGCCAATAACATTCACTTTATGAGACAGAGTGAAATAGGCAGAAGGTAACAAAGAAAATCTCTGCCTTTGCGTCACCAAAGACTGCCTGTTTTTAAACGTAAAATGGTTTATTGTATTGGTTTTTCTAGATCAGAACTCTGTATATATAAATATAGAGGAAAAAACATATCCAACTGCCTTTAAATGTGACAGAAGATGGTATTTTAATATTGTTCGTTTAACTCTTTGAGAGATGACAGTGACGATTTTTAGTTCTTGTGTGGCAGTATTCAAAAATTTCAGAAGCAGCGTCCTGACAGCTGAGCAGCGCGACCTGCGCGCGAGGTGCCCGGGGTGACGCCGCACATCCCCGCGGGGTAGGGGGGAGCGCAGCGTGCTCTGCCTTCTTCTAAAGAAACACGACTTTTTTGTTGTTGTTGATTTAATATTTCACCAATTAGTTAAAAGGTTACAGAGCCTGATTCTGCAACCCGTGTTTACTGGGTAGTTTTTACCCCAGTGAGATCTCCCATAAGTTCAAGGGATTGCGTACAGAAACCAGGCTGTGGTGGAAACTCCGTAGTTGCTCACCAACCCCGCACATGTCATTCCTCACAGCTATGATCTAAGGGATTTTCTAACCTGGGAAACCCGACTTGTATTGGAAAGGCTGTCCCGTGTGGCCTTTAGCTTTGCTCGGCCGTAGCCACCTCTCAGCCGCTCAGTGATGAACGCCACGTTGCGTCTGCTTTTGCAGGTGGGGGCCTCTCCCCCGAGGTTTCCCTCGGCACTGGCTTGTGCTGGAGGCCGGCAGCACACGCAGAGCTGCCGACCCTCCCGGCGGAGGGGTGCCGGGCGGCACCGCGCTGCTGGGCGTCAGCCAGGCCTCAGGGGTGGCCAGAGACGGGCTGCGCGAGCACCGCAGGCGACAGGAGCCTCTCCGCTGACATCAGTGTGCTCCGGACTGGGCTTTAACCCGGTGCGTTTGGGACAACCCTCGTTAGCCAGCTGGGAGGGCCCACGCGGTGCAGTAACAAGCAGCCGTGCAGGATCAGTCCTGCCCCTAGTCACTGGGCCAGGACTCGTCTGTTCACAGAGCATTTGGAAACTGCAGTGTTGTTGGGTTTAGGCATCGTGTTCTTTTCATCTCAAATTAACAATCCTGCTGTATTACTCATTTTTTCGAGTCTGAAGAAGATTGTTGGGTTGGGAGTTGATGAACCTAAGTGTGGATAGTAAATATGTTGATAAACGTAGAACATTTTGGGGATGACTCTTCACTTTTCAGCTCAATATCTAGAGCACATAGAAAAGCATTATATTGCATGGGCAGAAATCCTTATTTCCCAAGGTATCATGCGCTGCTGGCACAGTTATTTCATAGCAGAGTAGGTGATCCTTCTTTCAACTTGTCGTTTTTAAAAGACCTGATTATCGGGAGGGGAGGGCACACGGGCGGGGGGGACGGGTAAGCAGATTTCCTTTATTGACTTTCAGAGGGAGCTAGAAGTCTTGTTATAGAGCCTGTGTATCCGTAACAGTGATGTTATTGCACATTTCTTTCAAAAGAGACATAGTAAATATATTGAAACAATTTCTGCTCATATTTACTGAAGCCAACAAAGTGCTTTCTTTGTCTTTCTCCCTTTCTTTCCAGTTTTCTTTTTTCCCTTGTTTTTGGGCAAGTGGAGCAGACTGTACCAAAGTTAGCGATGAGCCTGAACTGGCACCTGAGACCCGAACCCCCCCGGGGCTGGACTCGGGTCTCAGCCTCACACCGTTAGCATCTCTTCCCAGACTCCTTCCGCTCCCCCGGGAGCCAGCGCAGCTTTAGGGGTGCAGGATCAGGCTGAGCGAGAGCCTGGCCCTTAAAATCACCCTTGACTCCCCAGCCAGGGGGAACTGTGGACCAAAATTTGCACAAACACATTTTGAACAGGCTCATTATTAACTAACGTACAGAATTGGGAGCTGACAACATCCAGGTTTGACAGCTCCGATTGCCGTAATTTTCCATACAATCATGGAGAATTTGAATACCTCCACACCAGCCTAAAAATGGACCTTCAAATCCTTGAGCCTCTAATATGCTTTTAATCAACGGAAGAATAATTTATGAATTGTATATAGAGAGTGCATTCATAAACGTGATGATGTATTTTATCACTGATCCAAGATGTCAATATTAGAGTCTATTTTACTTATATTTTAAGCAATTATACTTTTTTGCAATTCACTAATGAGGTATCATTTTCAAACTGCTTTAAATATCCATTATAAACAAATATTTGAAGCTATTAGAATTACCTTGAACTGTGCATTTCTAGTATGTAATACATATTTAGTTAGCTTGTGCCTTTAGTTTCTTAAAGTTATATTTGTATTATATGCAGGAAATGCACTTTGTATTACCTACAGCTGTGTTTTTTAATACTGCCTTGATTACTGTTGTTCTCATATTATGCCAAAAGGTCAAAAAGAGTGAAATGTGTTACGAGTTTGTCACTGAAAGTAGATTTGGCATTTTCCCAGTTCCTGGGTGCAGTCTAAGGTACATTTTTGAACAATATTTCTTACGAGATTACGGATGTATAAAGAATCACATGACGTTACATGGCCCGGTTACAAAAGCAAAACAATGCCTTCATCGTAACAGTTTCAGAAATTTAGGAAACTAAATAAAAATGTCATGTTGAGATGACAGTGCTAAAGAAACGAGTTATTACTGAAGGAGCACTGGAGACTGGAGTCGTAGCTACACGTGGGCCAGCCAGCAGTGATTCGTGAGAACTATAGCAAACAAATAGCTTTGGACCATCTTGTTCACGAACAACCTCAGATGGAGGCAGGGAATAGTTCGGTCTCCATTTTTTTTTCCCTAGTAGTTAGACCAATTTCTCAGTGCTGTTTTTTGTAGGTTTTCTTTTTTTTTTTTTTTTTTTTAATTTTGCACTATAGCCTAGAGACCCAAATGAGAAAAAGCAAAAAAGAAAAATAATGGCATGGAAATTTATACTGTTATTTAGATCAGATAATTTGATGCTAGCGTTCTGCACTGCAAACAAGGTTCTGAAAGTGGAAAAAATAAAATAAAAAATAAAATAAAATAAAATAAAAACCACTATTG